GCGTATGTTTCTCAAGCGTTATTTACCATGACGTTAATAGACATACTGATGATCTCTTTCTGTGAGAAGACTGTACTACTGACACTTTAAATCACAAAATGGACAAATTCAACACTCTCGCACATGACCTATGTCGACGCAACCCACGCTTGTCTTTCCTTTACAATACTAACTTGAAACTCGAAAGCAGGAAACATTTCTTAGTTTACACCTTTCTTTCCAAGGAATCGTTTCCTTATCCCATAATTTCCACTTCTTTATTACCAACTTCATTCTTCCTCACCTACAAACTAATACTGAATACTCCAACGTAAACCAACCAGACACCCCTAGTTCTAAATCTCCTTCAACCTCTTCTATTCCCCATACCTCTATCTCATTAAAAAACCCTCAACCCGAAGAGCATACACCTGTATGTCACATCTCTACTACACTTCCAAACCCTGTTTCTCCTGGAACTGTCCCAAACTCTAATTGTGACCCTTCGCCTAAATGTCTAACCTATGCTGAAGTTACGACTTCCACTTTTATTTCTAGTAACCTTTCTCTAAGCCCTAAACCTGATACCAAATCCATGAAGCCTGTATCAGTCACAACCTCTCAAACCAAAGTACATACATCTGTATGCCACATTTCTATATTTCCAAATTCCATTTCTATCACTACTTCTCCTGGAACTAATCGAAAGTCTACATTTGACCCTTCTCCTAAATTCTCTACTCGTGCAGAAGTTACAGCTTCCACTCTTATTTCAAATAACCTTCTAGTAAGCCCTGAGCCTGATGACCTTCCCAACTCCACAATTTCTCCTTCCAAAAGCCAAATCTTCTGCACACCTTGAAAACAACCTTCCTTCTGGTATCCTCTATATTCCTAGCAATCCTCCACTAAGTTCCAAACCTGATAACTCTGAACATTCTTGTCCCATAGAAAAATCTTCCACTCCCCTCAAACTAAACCTTCCCAATCGTATTCTAATCTCAACCCTACCAAAACTTTCAAACGACTTAGAAAACTGAACAAAAAGAGACTGAGATATATTAACCATAAACAACAAAGAACAAACACATCATGATCTTTCACATAAAAATAAAGGGTTATCTCAACAAAATCTTATCGTCTGTTCACAACGAAATAATAACTTTAAACAAGCCCCTACAGACGCTACCTGTGAATCGTTGATCAATAACTCAAATAATACAAACTCGCAAGTTGAGCTGTCTCATAAAATAAGCTCTACACCTGACTCATCCAATTCAGCTACTTCCTTGTCTGAGAGACCCAAACCCGAAAACACTTCCAATGTCGTAAATCTGTCCTCTAAAATTATGCTATTATTTTACATAAGGTTTGTTCTATCTATGAAACAAATAAAAGTTAGATAATCTTTAAACTATACTGTCACCTTGGTATTAAGGATTACTGAAAAATAGACACATTCATACTATTGCATATAAACATCATTTCTATTGGCTTTTGGCTACTGTACGTCAAGCTCACATGATCAGTTCAGATACTAAACTGAAAGAAAACCCCTTACACTTGCCACAGAAAACAAGACTAGCTAGGAATTCAAAGATAGTTTTTAGCAGTCAAGAGTTCATATGATGGCATTCAAGCAATGCCAGATTTATTTTCTCTTGTTAACAGAAACTGTTTGACAATATTTGAATAACAAT